ATTGTAGTCTTTCCATGCAGACAAGAACTTCTAAGACAGAAAGGCTTTCCTTTGAGAGCCCAGCAGCCTACCAAGCTCACCTGTGGCAGTCAGCGCAGCCAGAGCTAACAGGGCTACCTGTGATGAAGGAGGCAGGGAGGTGTTGCTCTCCTGAGCCCAAAGCTGAGCTGGCTGCAGTTTGAAATACCCCACTCACTGAGCTGGGACGCTGAGGAATTGAGCTGCCAGAAGTTCCAGCAGTGTGAACAGCAGCATTTCCTAAGCTCAGTGGGCCTGACTTGACAGCCTCAGAACAGCTCTTTACAGACAGGATCTGTAAGAAGGGTCTGTCCAAACACTTACTGTATTTCATTAGGAAAACAAGAAAATCATTTACTGGTAGAAACTGACTCTCCCTTCATCCAGTGTTCTACAATTTAATACTCAACCACTTACCTGCCCACTGTATTCTGAATCCCTTCCTAAAGATTGGTTTTACACAACTTAGCAGACAACTGGCTAACTCCTTATAATCATCTCCAAACACGAACAGCTTATGCACAGATTACACAGCTCCTGTGGCCGCTCATTTTTAGGGTATTCCCTTAATCTAAAACCAGCTGAGTGTTACACACAAACAGCCACAACACGTGGCCAAGGAGAATTCAGACTGCCATGCAATTCCATACCAGGAGTACAGACAGTGTAAATGGTAAGCATAGCTACAGAAAATCTTTCAAGTCACAGTTGAGACCCAAACATGAAAGCACATTTCATCCCCTGGGTCACAATCCAGTAAGGCACGTAAGTATGAGAGTTACATCACACATTCAAGCAGTCCCACATAATTCAGCTGCACACTGCATATCAGAGTAAGCACATTTAAGTGCTTTGCTTTATTTAAACTGCAGCTATCAGAACAGTCACATCATACTTGAGTTTCTTGGGTTTATAAATGATTTTCCTGGAAGACTTAAGACTTATGTTCTTAATCCATTAAAATATTCTCACCTGAACCAAGAATTGAGGTGTTAGCAATCGAGAAGCTAACACACTTTCTCCTTTATGTGCAAACTTTTAGCATTTCTCCAAATTTCCATACTGAAACCTGGTCAGTCAGCTTTGTTTTTCCTTCATATTAGCCCTAACGTTCTCTTCTGCTAATATACTGCTCTGAAGTTTACACTCTAAATAGCAGAAGCCTACTTCGTTTATATGATTTATAGATGGAGGAAGTGTTTATTCTGTTGTTTTGGTCACAAATGAACACCTTTTTAGAAGAGCTGTTAAAAAAACCAGAGCAGATGTTTGATATATTTATAAACACACTTTGTTCTGCAGATTCTGGTAGCAAGCTGTAATAACCATTAGTTAATTTTACTGGTATGTGAAAACAACAAAAAAAATTAAATGAACACTCAGTTAAACAAAGGCCTGTTCAGCTTAAACACACAAAGAGAAATACAGAAACAGACTCGACAGATACCTTGAACTTGGTATGTGGCTTAACAAGAGCACAGCTTGGCAGATGGAGCACAGACAGGCAGACCTTACAGCAGTGCTTTCACACCTACAGCACTCAGCAGGACACCACCTCTATCCAGGAACAAAAACCAGCACGCTCCCTCTGTTAGCATGGTACCTCACTTGTTCTCCTACCCCAACCACAATTTTCTTTCTAGTTTTAAAGACTTAAATGATTTACTCTAACAGTATTAAGTCTTACTAAATATGAAGTTGTTCCTTCAGAGACAGGCAGGAAAGGGAGCAACGAGAAGCCTCAAGGAGGTAACGCTGCCCTCACAGATCCACACCACATCTTGGCTCAAACACAAATTCTTCCTGAACAGCTTTTTATACAGTGGCTCTTGAACTTTGTGTACATACACTGGACTTCCTAAACATCTTAAGAACAGGTTTTTTGACCCATCACATTTCTATCTATACTTTGTAACTTGCAATTTGTCATTCTTTCAATGAAGAACACTGCAGTTAAAGTACTCAAATTTTAGAAGTTTTCTTCTTGTCCTACTACTTTTAACTGAAATATGGATCACGTGACAAACACAAACAATACCAGTTAAGAATCCAACATTCAGAAATAGCTCAATTTTCAAAAGAATAGATCTGACCACAGGTTTAAGAAGAGCGTTTAAGAAGAGCTACAGATTATACAGATCCACCAAGGATCTGTTTAAGGAAAGAAGTGAGGTATGGTTAAGAGAAAGGAGGAGCAACAGCCAGCCACACGCAATAGTAACAAGGCACGCTGCATAGCTCAGGTGTAGCTCTGCTAAGCTGCTGTTGTCTTGACTTCAAACAATATTATTCAAGCCTTATTAAAAGGAGTTGCAGGTCTGCAGAGACAAAACAAATATAGTTCTTCTGCAGTACTTCCCATTCCAAAACTCGCTTGTTTGTAAATAACTTGTAATTATGTAAATGTACTTTTACATTAGCATTGGCTAATATTTTTGCATTAGCATGAGAGCATGCAAAAACAAAGCCAATATCAAAGTTGATATTTGAGTATGAAATGCGCTGTTCTTAAATCACTTACATTTAGGTCATTAAGTGAAAGTAGCTCCTCTATATTCCTAGTTCCACTAGAAAGGGAAAAGTGCAATCAGATCTCTTATTGACAGCTGCATTCAAAAACATACCAGTTACATAAGTTTGCAAATCATGCTGTGCCGAGGTATCTAAGCTTTTTAACGATAGTTCTTAAAACGCTCTCTCAGCAAGAGTGACTCAACTTCACCATATAAAATGCACTCCAGATAAGAAGCAACCAGCTTGACTTCACAGAAAAGGCTTTTTTGTATTCTGCTTTAATTCAAATTGCACCAAGTGAGCTCTGCTTGTTTAGACCTGCAAGCTCTGCCATTCCTTTGGCACTTCCATCTCTCCTTCTCGTTTCCAACAAAGTGTCTCAAGCTTAGCTCCAGACAGCTAAGTAAGTACTTGGAAAACAGGTATAGTTTTCTACCACACCTCAAGGGGAAACATTTACCAGAGGACTACCAAAGGACTAGAAGTATTAAGCAGAGCAACGCCATGCCTATCTTCTAGAAAAACTCTTCCATCTGAAGAGAGAGAGAACACCGACCAGCTCTCCAGTACAAGCTGCAGTTATCAGAGGGTTTTATCAGATAAATGTGACTGTGAGGAAAACATTAGTAATTGGCATAATGCATCAGCAAGACTTTTACTTTTAGAGCAGCCCCATGTACAAAACACACACCCAGGAAGACAGGCCTGAAGGGAAAAGCTCTCGGAGCAGCTCTCTCTGCCCTGGTGAAAAACACTCGTACAGCTATCAGAACTGTTCTTCTTCAGTATCTTTCCTTTGATCACACAGGGAAAGAGTACAACTTCCTTGACCCGTGTTTTCCTCCACCCCTTCCCTGTCTCTGATCTTATTCATAGAAAACCTATGAATAGCATCAAAAGAAAACTGTCAGAGAAGAAATAAGGGTAGAACTTGCACAATTAATTCCTGTTAATTTGGCAATTCACACAGGGTCCTGAGCACAGCAGTATCTTTAATTTCACCAGGGCTTCACGAATCCTTCAGCAGCCACCTGGGCACTGAAGCAGTACGTGTAGAGACTCAGGAAAAGGTCACACTGATCCTATCTGGAAAGTAAGTTCCTAGAATCACAAGGGTTAGAACTGCCCTGCTTTACAAGACAATTCTATTTATTCTGTCATTACCCATCACCGTCTATGGAAAATCACCTACCCCTGAAGAGGACAGAGCTAAAGCCTGTTGCTCACAGGATTTCGTTTAAGACTGCCATCTGCTTAAAAGGAGGAAAATAATTCTTCAGCGTGACACACACACACAGCCACCATTTCCTCATCCGAGGAAAGGTACAGCGCAAAAATAAGTTCCTCACCAGCTCTAGGTGGTTTTGCAACAGCGGGGTTTTGCCACAGCCGTGGCACAGCGCTGAAACATTTCAACGTGCGCAAAACAAACGCGCAGATATCTAACAGATGATGCCTACGAAACGGGTTCCGAAACGACGGCACCGCTCGGGGAGCGCCCGGTGCTCCGACCCTCGTTAGGGTGGGGTGCTTTATAAATAGATGCTTTTTTTTTTTTCTCCTTCTCTCTCTTTCTCCGTTCCCCTCCCAGCGTCGTGCCTCGAGCGTTTGGGTGGCGATGGGAGAGGAAGAGGCTGTTTATAGCCATTATTAAATGAACTCCGAAGCGGCCCAGGGAGGGGGGAGGAGGGCAGCGCTGTTACCTGCGCCAGGCCGCCGCCTCAGCCCCCCGCCCAGCACCAGGCCGCCCTCCGGGGCCGCGGGTCGCCCCCCGCCGCTCCCCCCCACCGTCCGGGATGGCGCATCACAGCCCTCCCCGCTCGGCCGTGCCCCCCTCGGCCCGGCCCCGCACCACTTACCCCCTCCGGGCCGCGGCGGGGACGGCACCGGGCTGCAGCGGCGACGCACGGCCGCGCTCCCGGCGACGCGTGAGGGCGGGCGGCGGGCCGGGATGGGGGAGTGGGGGGGGGAAGAACGGGGGAGGAGGAGGAGGAGAAGGAGGAGGACGAGGAAGGGGGGCGGCCTCGCCTCAGTTCATTCACAGGCGGCGGCTGCCGAGGGCGGCTCGCTGCCCAGGGGGAGCCCAGCGCTCATCTCGCCTCCCGCTCCGCTCCTCTCGGCCGCTGCCGCCGACCCCCCTCCCCCCCCCTTCTCCCCGGCCCCCTCCCGCCCGCCCGAGCTCCGCGCCCACTCGCGCAGCGCCGCGGAGCGTCTCCCCGCCGCGCTCGCACTGCGCCGCCGCCTCCTCCTCACTTCTGCGCAGGCGCCGAGAGCGCAGCGGTGAGGGGAGGGAGAGGCGGGAGCGCGCGCGCAGTGCCCGGATGTTGAGGCTGCGAAGGTGGGGGCGGGGAGGTATTACATCACCCTGCGTGTGCGACCCGCGCAGCCGCACTGAGCATGCGCAGGGCGTGAGCTCGGGGTGGTGATGTCATCGGGCTCCGCCTCCCGTGCTGAGGGGAGGCGTTCGGGCCGGGCGGGGCGGATGATAGCAGTGTGTGTTCTGCTGCTCGTGGCCGCCGGTGGCGTTCGCTGCCCGCCGGAGGAAGCTGAAGCATTGTGATGAAGGCTGCCTTGCTGATAGAGGAATGGTGGGAATGCTTGTGGCGATGGACGCTGAGGCAAACCCTGCTCCGCTGGGCCCACGTCCCTCTGCGGGCGGCGCTGTGGGCAGCTGGCTCTCATCCCGGGCTGAGGACGTCGGAAGTGGTGCGGATGTGGGAATTACTGCTTGGAAGAAACGGGTTAGGACCAGACTCATTTGAAACTATCATAGAATCAGTTAGGTTGGAAGGACCAGCAAGACCTGGATAGGCTGGAGAGCTGGGCAGAAAAAAACCGGATGAGGTTTAACAAAAGCAAGTGTAGAGTCTTGCATCTGGGGAGGAATAATTCCATGCACCAGTACAGGTTGGGGGATGAGCTGCTGGAGGGGAGCTCTGCGGAAAGGGACCTGGGTGTCCTGGTGGACGACAGGTTGGCCATGAGCCAGCAGTGTGCCCTTGTGGCCAAAAAGGTCAATGGCTTACTGGGGTGCATTAAGAAGAGCGTGGCCAGCAGGTCAAAGGAGGTGATCCTCCCCCTCTACTCTGCCCTGGTAAGACCTCATCTGGAGTACTGCGTCCAGTTCTGGGCTCCCCAGTACAAAAAAGACAGGGATCTCTTGGAAAGAGTCCAGCGGAGGGCCACAAAGATGGTGAAGGGCCTGGAGCATCTCCCCTATGAGGAAAGGCTGAGTGAACTGGGTCTGTTCAGCCTTGAGAAAAGGAGACTGAGAGGGGACCTGATCCAGGTCTATAAATATCTAAGGTGTGGGGGGCAGAATGGCGAGGCCAGACTCTTTTCAGTGGTGAGTGGAGACAGGACAAGGGGAAACGGCTGGAAACTGCAGCATAGGAAGTTGTGCACAAACATGCACAAGAACTTCTTTACAGTGAGGGTGACGGAGCACTGGAACAGGCTGCCCAGGGAGGTGGTGGAGTCTCCTTCTCTGGAGATGTTCAAGACCTGCCTGGATGCCTACCTGTGCGACCTACTGTAGGGAACCTGCTTTGGCAGGGGGGTTGGACTCGATGATCTCTGGAGGTCCCTTCCAACCCCTACAATTCTGTGATTCTGTGTGATTCTGTGACCCTTAAAGGCCATCTGGTGCAACCCCCCTGCAGTGAGCAGGGACACCCACAGCTCCAGCAGGTGCTCAGAGCCCTGTCCAGCCTGACCTTAGCTGTCTGCAGGGGCAGAACAACCATCACCTTTCTGGGCAACCTGTGCCAGTGCCTCGCCTCCCTTATCATAAAAAAACATTTTCCTTATATCGTATCTAAATCTCCCATTTTAGTTTGAAATCATTTCCCGTTATCCTACCACAGCAGACCCTCCTAAGGAGTCCATCCCTTTCTTTCTTACAGCCTCCCATGAGATACTGAAAGGCCACTCTCAGGTCTCTTCTCCAGCTCTCTCAGCCTGTCCTTGAAAGGTTCCATCCCCGGGATCCAACAGGTCCATGACTCCTGTAGTGAGGACTCCACATCTGGATACAGTATTCCAGGTGAGGTCTTACAGCACAGAGCAGAGTGGCCGATTCTCTCCTTCACCCTGATGATCATGCTGCTATGGATGCAGTCCAGGGTACGATTGTCTTTCTGGGCTGTAAGGACACACAGGTGGCTCATGTCCAGCTTGCCATCCTCCAGTACCCCCAGGTCCTTTTCTACAGGACTGTGCTCTGTCCTTTCATGCCAAAAAAGGAATGGTTGAAGTAGGTACTTAGCTAAAGAATCAGGAAGGTTGTTGAGGTGGCTTCTGACAATAATCAGAATGCACAGCTGCATGGTAAGGTTTCCCTCAACTGAATGTTTGAAAAGTGCTCAAATTGCTGGTTCTTTTCCTGCTGCTATTCCTATAATGATCAGTGTAGCTTCAACCTGAGTGTGCCAGCAGCAGAAGGCAATAAATTGAGGATTCTTATACAGATGAGACCTATAAAAGCAGAGAAGAGCAGTCTAGGAAAGCTGAAATAAATGTAACAAAACCGCCTGGTTTCAGGATTCCTGTAATAGATGAAGTTATTGTGTCTCAGTATGACTTCAAAATACAGTACAAGAAAGAGAGGAAGCTGTTGGAGAGGGTCCAGAGGAGAGCCATGAAGATGATCAGGGGGCTGGAGCACCTCCCCTATGAGGACAGATTGAGGGAATTGGGCTTGTTCAGCCTGGAGAAAAGAAGGCTGCGGGATGACCTCATTGCAGCATTTCAGTACCTAAAGGGAGCCTACAAACAGGAGGGGAATCAACTCTTTGAAAAGGTAGATAACGGCAGGACAAGGACAAATAGTTTTAAGTTGAGGGAGGGAAGGTTTTGGTTGGATGTCAGGGGGAAGTTCTTTGCTATGAGAGCAGTGAGGTGCTGGAACAGCTGCCCAGAGAGGCTGTGGATGCCCCGTCCCTGGAGGTGTTCAGGGCCAGGTTGGATGAGGCCCTGAGCAGCCTGGTCTGGTATTAAATGGGGAGGTTGGTGGCCCTGCATGTGGCAGGGGAGTTGGAGATTCTTGATCTGGATGTATCTGGACATCCAGATGTATGTATGGATTTATCCATCTATGTATATGGACCTCAAGTATCTGGATGATACTTGAGGTCCATTCCAACCCTGGCCATTCTGTGATTCTGTGATTCAAAATCTGCAGTTCCCGTTGCTGACTGTGATGGAATGGTATGTTCGGACTCAGTCTTACAGTATTCATCCCAGTCATGTTAGTGTGAGCATGAACTACACTCAGTAGCACTCAATGTTGTTTTAACTCTTTCAGGCCCTTAAATTGCAGTTAAATGCAACTAATTCTTTAGTTGGAAGAAGACCTTTAGGGAAAACCAAATGAAAAATATTCCGAAAATATACTGGAGGTGGGAACAGAAGATACACAGTGTGTTACACAAAGAAATGGACATTTTTGGAAGGTCACAGACAAATTCCTGTAACCTTAATCAACGCTACTTTGAATTTCAATTAGTTATACTTTTGATGCAGCTCAGAATTGAAAACCTGCTTTTCTTTCTTTCCTTTTTCTTTCTTTCTTTCTTTTTTTTTTTTTTTTTTTTTTTTTTTTTTCAAATAAGACATTTGAAGTTACTTTGCAGGCTAAAAAGCTGATAGATTGTGGATTTTTGTTTTGTTTGGAATAGGATTTGTATCAATAATTCTCATCTAAAGATCAAACATATAGGTGAAGATGTCTTCAGTCAGTGGAGGAAATCAGGTATGTCCAGATAAACATTCCTCCCATGCTTACCCTGGTGTCTAAAGCAGGCTGAACAATTTGCCTGCTGAAGGTGACTTTTCTCTCCTACAGTTTCTCTGGATATAGAAGAAGGTGAGATGACAACCTAGATTAGATTCTTAAATTTTTTGATGGCTCAAATTATTTATTTAGTGTTGTCTAATGTAAATCTTCATACTAATATGTAAAGCTTGTAATACCGTCATCTTGAACTTGCCAGATACTTACACTTGGCTCTACCTCATGTCTTCTCCAGTGGGCTCTGCCTATTTTTAGAATGTAAAAGCCAGCAGGATGACTGTGCTGCAGGCTTTATGTCTTCTTAGTACTGGTGCTGCAACACCCTGCTGTAATGACGTCCGTAGGTACCTGCTCAGGCAGCTGTGCCATTGGGAACTCCATAAAGTGCCAGTACTGCAGCTATGATTAATAGTCACATGATGTTTAAATCATCAAATGCACACCATCCTGTATCCAAACTGAATTTATCTGAAAGATGTCACAAAGACTGTGAATGTTTTAAGAACATGGTGTGCAAAAGTCCTGTGTTCTTGAAGTGCCACAGTTCTGGATAGAATTTGCTTTCTGCTAGATTCTTGTAGGGGGCTAAACAAACTGCCACACTTTGCCTGCTCAGAGAAAAAAATTACACTCTCTTTACGGGGTTGTTTTGTTGTTGTTGTTAATTAATAAAGAAAAACATTTGTGAAAACAAAAACTTGTATTTTGCAGTCTACAAAATCATTACAGCATCGCAGTGTGGTTTTCTGGTTCTAGCTTAACAGAAAGAAAGCAATTCTCACTGATTCAGTTCTTCTACTGAGAATTTACTGATAAGAGTAACACGCTGTTCTGGAAAATCAGCCAAAGCAAAGCACAGTAAGACCCAAATGTCAACAGAGGGAAAACCATATTTACTTTGAAAATTAATATGAAGGCTTATTATAGAATATTGCTGTTATTTTTCTCTCCTTTTTTCCTTCAAATCTTCATTTTCTATCTGTAGATTTCTCATTTGTCAGTACTCATTAGGCATCACATTTACAATGATATTCCAAATGCAAATAAAAAGCATATTTTTAATATCTTTTCCATTTTAGCTATCAATTGGTGTCTACTACCCAGTAAGGCAGATTGAGGCTGATAAGTTATGTCATACCTGTGCTTGCTCGGAGGATTGTGCTGAGATATGGAATGTGGTTGGTTTTCCCAACAAAACTTGGGTATGAAGAGCTTGGGAGCTATGGCCTTGTGTAGGAAACCTGCATAATAAAGATTTGCTCTTGAAGATTGTAATTCAGTTGCTCTATAGAGTATTTTCCAGATTTAATAGTAGCATTGGACACTACTTTGGCAACTGACTGAATAGATGAGACTGAGAAGTCTTGTAACATTCCCTCAATTTTCCTTTACTTGGAGAAGAATCTTGCTGGAGATGCCAGGTGACAGCTGTGCTTCCAAATCTTTGTCCTTAACTAGAACTAGTTTTCAGGGTGTAACACATTTTCTGAACTTCTGCAATAATGCATTTTTGTTACACTATGTAAAGACCAGGTTTAAGCCTGGCTTCATACATTGGAGTTGGAAGGGACCCTAAAAGGCCACTGTGCCGAATTCATGATAGTAGGATGTAAATGGTCTCACTGAGATCATCGCTCTTCAACACAGAAACCGTGAAATGGCTTAAAGCGACATTAGTAAAAAACGACAGGACTCCAGCACTGATACTTTTCTCCAGTTCTTTTCAGTCTGAAGGGGTCATGCTTTATTGAATCTTCATTTGTCAGTGTACGAGATGGACAAGACATTGTTAGTTGCTGAAAGTTTAATTTTCTTGAGATGATTTTTTTTTTTTTATCTATAAGACAAAACTGTGAGTTACAGAACAATCAGAATATTTTACCAGCTAGGCTTTAGGTCATTTCATCTGTTGGATAGTTCTCTTGTTTTAACAATGTAAGGGTACACGTAAGTTGCTCTTTTCATTTGCTATTAGTAGTCTGTACATGAAGGCCTGCATCCTCACTGAAGTCAGTACAAAGCTTCCATTGACCTCAGTGTTGCAGGATCAAACCCTTAGTCATTAGCATGTTGTAAAAACGGCTGTTGTCCCAGCCAATTTCAATGGGCCTGGCTACAATTGTTCATTGTTTAACCTAAAAATTAGCTTAGCAATTACAGCTGAAACTACATGTCAGACTGTTGATACGTAGGAATACATCATACTGAGTCATCAGGACTCTAATGATGCTCTTAGACTTTTATAATTATTAATGCTCAAGCAGGAGATTCTGAAATTCAATAAAGATTTGAATTTCCAGATGTGAAGGAAATTCTTATTCTGTGAACTCCATTTTTTGTGTTATTAGTCCTTTTGTTCTTTAAACAGCCGTATCTAGTTGCCTTCTTTGCACAACCAAAAAGCTTACTTCTTCCTGCATTCATTCACATAAATCTGTTCAATCAGTTGTCCCTTTTAACAAACAACACAATCTGAGGCACAGCTGAGAAGGTTCTTCTGTGTGTGTTTTAATTAGCTGCATTAAACTGCAGTTGATCTAAAACCAGTATGTCAGAATCAAATAGCCTACATTTGGAGACAGTGAAATCTGAACATTGCTCAGTGCTCTGCAAAATAGGTTTTGTGTAGTACCAAGGATTGTGGAGAATCCAAGGTTAAATGATAATCTGATTTGTGCCACTTAGGCCCTTTTTAACTGATAGCATAACTAAGGTTTAAATTTAGTTCCATTACATAAGCATAGACATAGTATGTCTGTAAGAAGTAAGACATCATTTTCATGCCTACAGGCATGAAGGCCATTATAAAAATGGATAAGAGATCAAAGCCGTATGTGATGATGACTTCTATTAGTATTGGTTTCTAGCCTTGTGCCAGTGTTGTATTTCTTTGAGACCGAGCAGAATGAAATATTAACAAAGCAATAAAGGCAATTATTAAAAAAGTAAACCAACAGCTCCATGTTGTTCAGTTCAAGCTCAGTTTCAGGAGAAACCTATGAGAAAAAGAAGATCCCATAGGCCAGGACACATTAGTTTATGTTTCTTTTGTCAAGCATTTAAGATATCTACTGCAAACAGTGCGGTGCAGCTTCATATCAAAGTATTACTCACAACATGGATGGTACTTGGAGATAATCCGAGTCTCCACCCTGCTCAGCTGGTATTCTCCCTTCTCAGGGAATTTCAGTGCATCCAATAGATTAGGAGTCCAGCTTCTTCTTAAGAGATTTGGTAATCTGATTTTTTTTTAGGTGTTTGAAATACAGTTGTTTTCTTGCTTGTTTTCATTCACTGCAGTATGCCACCTATGTATTTATTTAGATAAGTATGTATTTGAATTATATTTGTGTGTATGAAAGATTATACTGTGTTTTTATAAATACATTTATTTACAAACTTTTGTAGGAATAAGCAAAATAACTGGCTAGTAGCTGACACGTGTCATGTTTATTCTAATTCCTTCCCTGTGGTGTTGTACTCTGATATGTGTTCAGAATAAATAATATAACCCTTTGTAAGAGACAAGGTATAGAAGAGGCAAAAAGCTTGTCTGGTAATGATGAGAAAAACAATTAGGTAAAAATGGGAAAGCAGTGGTGATGCAAATTTGCAGTAGTCAGCTGAGTACTGGATTGGAATCATTAGCTCACTCTGCAGAGGTCTCAAGATTGCCATTGTATGACATAAATTTCAATTAATTATGGACACTTTCAATATGAATGTAGCAGTTGACCTGAGCTGAACCCAAGTTAGATGAGAGACTCATTACCAGTAACAGTTAGCAAATAGGAATTTTCCTGCAAGTGCAAACTGAAAAACGCAGTACCATACCTTCAGAGCACCAAGCAAACACTTGATTCTCCTACTCATTCTCTAGGTAAAATTTGTGAACACTCAAAGATAGTGGTTGTGGAATGTTTCAGTCTCATCTGGCTGCAACAGCAACCTACTGAGTAACCCACAGTGAAAAAAAACAACACCCTGGTGCAGTTTTTAATGCTTATTCAAAACTAAAATTTAAGATCTTTTCTGAAAGAAACCTTAAAAGTGTTGAAGTTGATCCAATGCTTTTCAAGTTAAACTCAAGATTCCTACTGACTTCAGTGAGCCTGGATTGAGTTTAAATTTCTTATTTGCCCGGGGAAGCATTTGCACTGCCAAAATGACTTTCATCACTCTAAACTGGATTAACGATACAGTGGTCATTTAGCATAAAGTCACTGACTAATTTTGCTTGGAACTGATTTCTGGAGGTCTTTTTGGAGGGAGTCCAATCCCCTCAGCTCAAAGCAGATTCTACAAGATGGGTTTGCTGAGGTCTTTGTCCATCTGAGGTCTGGGTATCCCTGAGGTCTGAAATCCCACTTCTCTAGGTATGCGTTTCAGTGTTTCCAGTCAGAGTTTACTGTGCTGTGATTTTTGCCCATTGCCTCTTGTCTCATCACTGTGTATTTCTCAGAAGAGTCTGGCTTTGTCTTCGCTGTATCCTCCTGCCATGCAGTTGAAGGCAGCAATAAAATCTGTCCTTAACCTTCTCTTCTTACAGCTGAGCAAAACTGGCTCTCTAAGTTTGTCTTCATCATGCTGCTCATCCACTGCACTTTCTTCTGTATGCTGAAGAATTACTTATCCAGGAAGGGCAGCAGGAGACTGCTTACAGAGCTTTTATTTAGGTTAGTATCCTGCCCATTGCTCTGACTTCTAAAATGCTTTTTAACATCATTTACAAACTCTACTATTCAAAAGATGTTACTGTCTTTTGTGACTTGCTGATCCTCTCTGGGTTGACACTTGTCATACACAGAAGGCTGAACTGCAACAAAGCACCACAATGCTTGCTCTGAAGCTTAATGTCAAGTAAAAGTTGAATTCAGAAAGTGGAATGGGTGAAATATTCACCAGATCAAATGTACATCTTGGATTTACATTCCTATAGATTTTATTCAAAGCTTATTGCAGCACAGCACCCTATACAGTGCCAGAGAGGAATGTTGTCATCTTCCTGACAAACACATCTGCCTGATCCTGAGAAGCACAGCAATCTTTGTTTAGATGTTGTACTAGTCAGAGCAGTCTTAGAGCCACCTTTTTATTGGGTTTGGTTACAGCAAATGACTGTTAGGAGTACTGGGTGCACCAAACTTACCCTCTTCCAGCATCAGTAAATCCTATCCTTCAGCGTGTTCACAAAGTACAGAGCTCCAATGTGATTCTCTGACATCCAGGGATTTTCTCAGATGAATAATTATATCATCTCTGTTTTATTGTTTCACTGGAATAGAAGCTATTTAATCACTGCATTTCCTTAGCTCGTTCTCTCCTTAGAAGCTGTACTATCTATGGAAATCTATCTGTGATTTTTGCTAAACAGGATCCACAGAGAAGAAAAGCCCACAAGTAGAATATACTTCTGGAGCTCATTACGTAATACCTTCATTAAAATGCCAATCACAGCTTTCTACAAAGAGCCAAGTCGAACTGTGATCAACTTTTTAGGCAATGTTCACATTTGGACTTTTTGCTTGAGAAATTCCACAGGTTCACATGCTTGATTGTGCAATTATTTTCTTGAATTCATTTTAAAAACAAAAAACAAACTAGCCCTAAAGCTGATCTTCTGTGTAGCTTATATTCGGGTAGTAAAAGGTCTAGAAACAAATCTGGTTTTGTTTTTTTAA